CATTTAGACCCAGTTGTTCTTAGTAAAGTTCACTGCAACGCCAGATTTTCGCTTCAAGTCATTGCTACTCCATAATTGTCTGTCCGTGGAAAAAGGTAGAGCAAGTGATTTATTTTAAGAACAGAAAAATGCAGAGGCGACAGCAGACGAGTTTTATCTTTACTTGGTACAGTCAACTGCCATTCCTTAATATACACTATTGTGCACATAGTACAATTAAGTCACCTTGGGTGGCCTGATGTGATTTACTGTTTGATACTGTGATATTTCCCCAAATGCAATAAGCATGCTCCACAATGGCAGTGGACTTTTTTTGTCCCCACCTACAAATAGGTTTTCTCCTCTTTTAAATCCCGTCACGGTTGCCGCTAGAAGCTGACAAGGCGAGTTCGAAACTGCAATCAGTTCGGATGAAGAATCCTTTTGTCCTAAGGCGAATTTTCCCAATCAGTTTACAACTTAAATGAAACGACTTAGGCTGACCAATTTAGCATTTTATAGTTATTCATAATTTTTGGGCTTGATCACTGAAGCTGAACAGTACTTCTTCTTTCAGTCTATGAATGCAAAAACGGCTTGCAATAGTTGATACAATTAAATTTCACCATTTAACATTTCGGAAAAAAACAACGCCGATAAAACTAAAATTCTGGTAGATCACCTTGGATAATATTTCGCCTCGATCTTCATAGACGCCCGGCAAAAAGCGCAGCAAGTTGGCGTAGTGCCTACGTCGCGCACTGGTTGGATCCACGGCCAGTTGACTATGTTGACCGTGAGGCTGCAGGTCTTGTGAAGCCGCTTTTACTGGCTCTCTGGATCCAAACCCAAGCGCTGTGCGAAAGGCAGAAGTTGAACCGCTTTTGCCCTTCCTCGGAAGAGTTGACTGTCCATCACCACGTCGATCAGGCCAGATCTCGTGGAAACTGTCGCCAGTGGAGTGTGTAAAATCGGACTGACTTTTGTTAGTGCTCTCCTCATTATCATAAACATGATGCCGACCGGTAAATCTAACCATCCGGCCGAGAGTAGAGGCTTCTACGCCCAGTATTTTTATTTTTTCGCTGCAATCAAAAGTCGATGTATATACATATTTGCAGATGCCAACTGAAGAGTCAGTCGGGCAGGGATTAGCACAATTGGGTGATTTGCCAAGTGCCGGTTCCCTGGACGCACGACGCTGCAAAGAAGGCATGGACGAAGGAAGTGTCTTGGAGCACCAAGCATTCCATATCCTTGAAGCCGTCTTCCTCCGACGCCAGGACATAATGTGGACCTCAGGAAGAGCCGAGTTCAGGCTCATCGCAAAGGGTTCGAGAATGTCAGATTTCGAGAGCTGTTTGTCTACTTTGCCGGCCAGTTGCGAGACCTCCACATGGTTATGCTGTTGTGTTTTTTTGACCTTGATCCGGTTGGTTCATCTGCCGAATGTTCCACTTTGCAATGAGACCTCATTTGACCTCGGAGGCTGAGCAAAAGAGATTGTAGTGCGGCGATGCCGGCACGTGTTCACCGGAATCGAAGGAGATTGCCTCGGAAACAGCGTCAGCATGAATTTTCCAGTAAATCCAATCGACAGCTGGTCTAGAGGAATTCGCCGTCGTCTTCTGGTGGAACCGACCTTGGAATCTCTTCACCCAACACTTCTACTCGAAA